GCCTGCATTTCGCGCACTCGACACGCACGATCTCCGCAGAGGGTTGCACTTTCGGTTGACGCTGTTCGTCCCACACTCCGCCTTTAAGAGAGAATTTATAAAGTGGGGAAATGTTTTTTCATTAGGACATCTCCCGTGCTAGTTTTCCATATTTACCATACTCACACTTGCCCTTGCATAGTCATTGCATGCTTGCATACTCACACTTGCATACTTTGACCCTGGCAATACTTCGCACTTGGATGCTTTCGCCCTGGTATACTTCGCACTTGGATGCTTTCGCTCTTCCAGTGTGTGTGTGTGTGTGTCAGTGTGAGTGTCGAAGTGTAAGTGTGTCAGTGTGAGTGTCGAAGTGTAAGTGTCGAAGTGTCAGTGTTCAAAGGATTTTCCGGAAGAACCCTTCGCAATGCTTTCGGGAAAAACAATGAATGAACCATCTTTAAAACAAGCCAGGATACTATTTTTGAGTTGTTCGTTGGATATGCTTGCCCTGATCGCGCCACCGGTCTTTTCAAGCGAATGAAGGAACGATGACACGAAACACAAAACACAAAACACGAGGCGGGTGTAGAATCATGCTAACACGACGCATCTCAAAACACAATTCTTTTTGCACATGGGATCATGGGATGAAACAAAAAGCATCCGATGTGTCCCAGGAAACCAACGGCCCATGTTTTTGCTGTTGGCTTGACAATTGAACTTTAGGTCCTCAGGTGGAAGTGAAACACTTTGTGATAAAGCAACCTTGATAATATAACAAGACCGTCTGACAAGGCTAAGGAACACTTTTCCACTTCCTCGTTGGTTGAATCACTGATGTTCACGGGCTCAGTTCAATGAAGGAACATACACTGGACCAACTCACACGCACATATTGATTTAGGTGGCAAAGGAGGGAAATGATTCCATCAGGCTCATCTTTCCACCTAAGTCTGTCTAGCTCACAAGGTAGTGTCACCCTGGCCCGCTTCACCAAACACCTTCTGGCAATCGATCCACAAGTATCCTAAACCTTCCTCAAAAGCATTTGTCATCATTCCTCTACCCATTCCTAACCTCTCACTTCTACCTGCAGCCGCTGCCAGCAGCTGTTGGCAGCGGCGCTGCTCTGCAGCGTCCAGGACCACGAGCGTGGCTGACCAAGCTCTGAGCTCCAGGGTCACACCTGAGTAGACCAATGGAAGCCAATCTATTAAGTAGTGCAGGTTTTCCAGAAAGAAAGAACTTTTCTACTGCAGAGTAGGTTTTTAAGGACATGACATGTGTGTGTTTTTTCCCAAAGGTGCTTGAAGGGACTCACTTCGGGACTCGCCGGGTGTCCGCTCTCACCAGGGACACGGACACTCCCAACAAAAAGGGTTGGACATTGCGCGATCGGATCATGGAGACTCTCAACCATCACACGTTGAACTGACCAGGGATGCTTTACAAATTCGGCCATGAGAACATCATCGCTTCTAGGTGAAAATACAAAAAACAGCGGACTCCATGGTATTCACCCTAAGCCCCCTAGACCAAACATCTTAAACCCCCAAAACGGATTTCACCATGCGTGGTGCCAAGGTCCACATTCCGAGACGGATTCGCCGCCCGGTCGCGGGGTGCGATTCGACGCTACGAACGGAGCTCCTGGCCTTACTAAGAAGCTAGGAAGCTAGGAACTGGTAGCACGGTGCGACATGTCCGGGTCACAATGACTTTATTAGAATCTATTAATATCTAAAGGCGCCCCCGGCCCCCATGCCCCTGATTTTTGTTCAAGCTGTACGCTGCCGAAAGCCTTCAACTGGTGCGTTGTCTTGATGATTGGTGGTGCCTAATGCCGCCTACACCTTGCATTGCTTGATATTGCTTGGTTGAGTCGTTTTCTCCCAACAGATGGCAAAGACTATGAAGCTGCAGGCTGGGATGTTGATGTGACCCTGATGCCCGGATGAACATTTCTAAAAATGAACTGAATCGCGTATTCTATACATTCATATATATTCTATACCGTCTATCCCCACCAATAAGTCCTCTCTCTACACACTATACACTCTATCTTCTCTTTGTTCGGTGATTTGCCAAGTTCTCAGGGGACGCTTTCTCCCTTGCAGGTCGTACTGGACGCTCTCTCCCTCTCTCTCCCTCTCATCAGCGCTCGGTTGAGGCAAATGATCGGTTTCAATCGGAGGGCCATTTAATTTAGGTTTTTTTGCGTTTTTAACTGATTTTTTGTGTTTTTCGTGGCTTCCGGCTTCTGGTTTCTGTGGTTTCTGGCTTTTGTGGCTTTTGGTTTTCGTGGCTTCTGTGGCTTTGGCTTTCGTGGCTTCTGTGGCTTTTGGCTTTCGTGGCTTACGTGGCTTATCCATCTATATATTTGTCTATATCTATCTGT